TCTGTTCAGCAGTGTATTCCTGTGTAGAAGGGAGATGCTACCAATAAAGTCAGAATTAATTCTCACTGTCTAGGGCAGACAACTGAAACCTTCACATCTTACTTTAAACCACCATGCCAACTTTCCCTTACCCCATCAGGGCTATAATATGGATCATATGAGGATTCTCTTCCTGACTACTCCCCCTGGGAAGACAGCAGAGTGGCTGCTGTGACATCATCCCCAGCAAACCCAGCACAGTGTGCAGCACAACACAAACCATCAGGAAGGCCTGCAGTGCCCTCACCTGCCTCTCTTCCTACCTCAGTCCAACATTATACCAGCTGCCTTCTTACCCAGGGTGATCTCCAGTCTCTCTTTGCCAGCATCCTCAAATGGTTCATATGTTTCCCTTCCTTACTCACCATATCCAGGTATCACACCACTGCCTCAGCGCTGCTTCTCTCCATTCCCACCCCCAGGGGATTAGACCACTATGAGCTGTTGCAGCAGCTCTGGGGAAGCACCAGCAACAGATGAAATAGGAAACACAACTGACAGGTTATCTCGTGTGTCAAGGCTAATTCATCATTCAGGTATTAATTTCTATGCTTATCACTTTGTGTCAAGACATAAGATTTCTTTTTAGCTTGAGAGTCAAATACATTTTTATCAAAGTCCCTACCAAATATTCTGACTGGCGAGAATTAAGGTACCTGAATACACAAAAGTTATGGAATATTTTCAGCTTCCTAATTCCTAGTTTTGGAAAGTTTTAAAATAAGGATGGGTGCTCCCTCCTAAGCAGGATGGGACAGTTAGGCCTTGTAAGTAACAATGCTTTAGCTATTTTATGGTTAGCAGCAAAATTAACCTTGTAGGACATCCAGGGTCACTGAAAATATGATGCCTAGTCCAACATGTCCTGGGTTCAGTACAGGTTCTAGGTGTCACTTACAGTTGTGAGAAAATTTGGAACTGAGGACTGGCATGGACACTGCCCCTTGGCATAATAGCTAAGAGTAGCTAGCAAGAAGGGCCGACTTTCTCTCCTTCAGCAAAAATGTTTTATGCAAAAATTGTTTCCAATCTTTCCAGTTCCCTGGGAAACAGCACAAGATTATTATATCTAAGCTTTCCAGTCAGGCACTGGTATGTTTGCCTTAGCACGAAATTATGCCATAGGGAGTACAGGAATCAAAACCATGGCAGTTTAAAGATCATAAAAGTGGATGTTCTTTTAGCTGAAAAATGAAATGAATGCTCAGTTATATACATATCACAGGGCAGAAGACTAAAAAATAAAGTCCTGGAGGTATAGCTGAACACAGTTGTTGATAACAAGGGATTACCAATGACTTTACCAATGTTGCCTATATAGCATCCTCATTCACCATGGTAATTAAGATGTTTATCTTTTAGTCTATAGATTTAAAGCTAAATTAGTGTTATTCCTGGGTGTTGGGATTATAGGTAGATATTTATATTCTTTTCTGAGTACATACTACTTTGACATTATTTTTGTACAGGTTAAAAGGGATGGATGGGTAATCCTAGAGAACTCTTTCAGCTAAAATAAAACCCCTAATGCAACTCTATTTTCAGTATCCTGTACATAGTTTCATGTGTGATAGGCATTCAACAAGGTTCTCACATCTCCACTCCCATTCCCTATTTCTGCCTGATGATTTTGTTTCTTTCCTTTTTTTAAAGTCAGTTTGGAAGCTCTAAACTTATTCAAGGTAAAATAAATGCTGAGAAGAACTACAAGACGACCAGTTGCAGGGTATATTTTTCCCAGCCTGCCTTCCCACAGAAAGAGGAAGAAAGAGATGGAGGCTATGTCCAAATCAGTTCTGGTATGGAGTATTATTGCACCATGCCTTTACTAAAGAGTCTACAGAGCTATACTCCCCCTGGCTCAGGAAAGGGCAGACACCTCAGGTTAATGCCTGGGGTCTCTGACCAGGAACCTGACTCCTTCCAGGCAAAGTTATAAGGAGGTACGTGATACACATGAGTGCTTTCTGTGGGAAGGCAGGCTGGGAAAAATATACCCTGCAACTGGTCTCCTTGTAGTTCTCAGAATTTATTTTACCTTGATGTAAATTTGTATTAGTAAAGATGGCCAGTCCATAAGAAGCCAAAGTATGAGAGACATTTAAAACCCTGTATATTCTCAACTTCTCTTTAGTATTTTATTAACTATTAAGAGCTGGCCCCAAATACACCTACAGAGTATCTGCATCAATTTCCTAAATTCCTGATTTCCAGGTAATGCGTGAAAAAGTGCAATTTCCCCAACAGGCATTCAGATGAGAGAAGCTCACCCTGATACTAGAGGGAAATAGTAATCAAAATGCTGCTGATTGCCAGTGGTCTTGCTATGGAGTCGTTATGAACAGTTACGACCGCTAGGTGGAGCCAAGAGTTTGAAGGAAAAGGCAGGGGATTCAGGATTTTGCAAACTCTAGTAGTAATAGAAAAAATAAAAGCCCAGATACCCTCACTTAAGCAGATATGTGATGTGATTAAACTTCCAGTTGGACGGAAAACGCAGCTATGTTCTTCATGGAGCTAAAGTCAAATCTAGTAGAGCTTTTTTACCTACAAGTAGAGGACAAGTTCCTGAGTCCAACACATTCCAGCTGAAACATATTCCAGGACGGACTGGTGGACAGTGGTGGGCATTCCAATTACAGGTGGGGAGGGTCCCTTAGAGCTCTGTTGTCAGTAAACACTTCTGCTTCAAGACAGGGTCTCCCACCAAAGGTGGAGCAGAGCTGAAAGGAAGAAAGAATGCTTACTCAAAGGAAACATTTGAGAGGGTGAGAGGCATTCATTCTCTACTAATTCCCATGGAGATACTGAGAACAGACTAGATTACGGATCTAACTGGATATGTACAAACACCTAACTTAGTAATGAGATATGCCACAGAAGGGCATTTTCTAGATACTAATTTCATTTTGAAATGTAAAAATATCATTTTCTTCTACTTCCTTGACTAAACTGTGCTAACATTTAACATTTCTTCATGAGTCAGGGTTGTTATGAATATGCTGTGCTGAGCACAATAACATGTTCAGGAGATACCAAGGTAAGTAGGCTGCTCTGCTTCCCCTGCCCCCCACTCTGTACTGGGGTACGCTGTGTTTCTTTACAAAGGCCCAGTCTCTAAACCAGTTTACTTATTGGCACTGAGAAAAATGAAAGGACATGGGTTTTGCATGAGGGCCACAAGTTTCTGCTGTGGGTGAAGCAGATAATCTTAGATGCAAGGATGAACTGACATCTACTGTGTTTCATAAAAACTTAAAACACTATCAAATCATCTGATGCAGAAAATGTAATTTAAAAAATGTCAAAAGCATTAACAAGATTTAGAAATGAAAACAGCAGCAACTGCTGTGCCACCATTCTCCATTCCTACTACCTAACACTTTCTGTTTTTTTCCCTTACCACTGAATCACTCCACCAACCCTCTACTACCTAACACTTTCAACTGTTTTGTTTTGTTTGTAGTTCTGGGGATTGAACTCAGGGCCTTGCACTGGCTAGGCAAGTACTCCTCTATGTGAGCCACACCCCTAATCTTCAGTGTTTTCTTCTAGTATTTTCCTTTTTGGGCCTCACCCCAGACACACTGAGGGTGTTGTCCAGCAGCCCATGTGTTAACAAGTCTTCCTTCTATGACTCTGCCTCACAACTATTCTGTTCAGTGTGTTTCCACAGTGACCTCCTACTATGGACTATGAAGTCTTGACTCTCTTAAACCTCTTCCCCAGCCCCACAGTCCTGCTTTCCTGTATTTTCAACACAGCTATCTGACCAATTTTGCTCATTAAGTGTTTGCTGAAATTATGTAAATATCTTCACAACTGGGTATCTTTGCATACTTTTTATTTTCCTGGGAATGAGGTGCCTCATTTTTATAAATTAATTGTGATTGTGTTCTCAGTCTTCTATGTGTATCTGTAATTTATCCCTAACCTCTCAGGTGGAACTGTGGATCTCTTCTCAGTACATTAGACATGTACTTGAGCCACGCCCCCAGCCCTTTTTCTATAGTTATTTTTCAGGTAAGGGTCTCCTATTTTTCCTTAGGTCTGGCCTTAGATCACAATCCTCCTACCTATGGCCTCCCAGCATAGCCAGGATCTAGGCACACACTGCTATACCCAGCTTATTTGATAAGACGGGAGTCTTGCTAATTTTGTGCTCAGGCTGGCCCTGAACCACAATCTCCCCAATCTCTAGCTCCTGAGTAGCTACAACCACAGACTCATCATCTGGCCCTAAGTTCTTTCAGGTTAATCAGCTCTAGCAATTTTCCTTCCTTCTCCAATCAATTGCCCACATTCTCAACAGCAGGAGAATAAGAGAAATGGCAGCTCATCTGGAAAAAGGTCTGAGGTAACGGTGAAGGTAATTATCAATCCTTTGCAAAACAGGTACAGTTTAGCACTGAAGAGTTCTTTTCAGTCCATTGTGTTTCCAGCAAGCAACATGTTGAAATGAGCTCACAGCAGGGCCCTCACCTTGGGAATGTCCTTCCTTGTCTTTATACTGCACCTCTTCACCTATATTGCTGGGCACTGCCATTCATCGCTATTATAGTAGGCGCAATCATAACAGTAAAGCAGAAAAGGAAAAGACACAAAATGCTTTTAAAACAAACAAAAAATTTAAAGATAAGCGTGTTAAGTTTTTTTTCTGTTGGTGGCACTAGGGTTTGAACTCAAGGCTTCATGCTTGATAAAAACAGGCACTCTACTACTTCAGCCCCACCTCAAATCTGTTAATATTTTATCTAGTGAAGAATTTTGTAGAAAATTACTGGTAGCAAGAAAAAAACCAAACTATGTTTTAAAAAGGCAGGAAAAAATTGTTCGATTTTAATTAAGTTCAATTAAGAATTTATAAGAACTGACATTGGTATTTTAAATACAATCAATTTCACTTATGACTTTCCCTCCAACAGATGCTTACAATGGCAACTGAGAAATAATTTTCTCACCTGGTCACAGCATCTACTAAGAATGGTGCTGGGGCAGAGATGAGTAGGATTCCGTCTTTATTACCATGTCCCTCTGTTCCTGCCGGAGCCGTTCCACACTGTGCAGGTCCATTAGAAAGGGCACCACACTGCTGTGGGTGATACACACACGTCTGAACATAGAAGTAACAGTACTTCCCCAGTCCATACTTTAGCTCTAAATCAGTTCCATTAATGACAAGAAGGGAACAAAGGTAATTTTGACATTCATGGAGGTTTTATTTTTTTTAAACCAGCTTTTACCTCAGATTTTTGTCTGCATCCTTTAGCATTTACAAACAGAAAGATTAAGCCACAAATTTGAAGCCATTAAATTCGATTAATAGAACTTTGACAATGATCCCAAATTTGTAAGAAAAAATAAGAACCTGGTGATCCCACAGGCCTTGCTTTGAAAACATAACAAGAAAAATCACAAATATCACAAACTTACTGGAATAATCCACCGGGGCGTGATTATGGATGTTGAAGACACCTAAAACAAATTTGACATATATATTTACTTTTAGGGGACACTGACTTATTTTCATAATTATACTCCTAATCCCTTCTCCTATTATGAAATATATTTAAGGGAGTGCAATTCTTATGAGCCTCCTTGAGCTGACATGAACTTCTGAATCAAAGACTCCCTTTTACAACACAGATGCCATACCTCACCACTTAAACTGTCACAATTTTGAGGACCTCTTAACCTAAATATTTACAACTCAAGAACACTACTACTACTTTCAGTTCACTTAATAGGACCTCCCTTCACTCCACACCCGTTTTATTTTCTGAAATTTTAGTTAATTACAAATAATCATAGCCTTTGTGGTAATATTTTAAACAATGGATTGTAACTAATCCAAATAAAAAGCATAAAGAAAGTCACAGAAAAAAAATTGGTTTATATACAGGTTACTCTAATTGTTATGCACTCATGATGAAGAAGGCAGCAATAATAACACCCATATTGTTCCCAACTCATACAGCATTTGTTACATTCTTTCTTAGTGTTTAGTTTTCTAGATCTTACTTCTATGTATAGAAATATAATCTAATGACTTTATGGAAACTTAAGGCTAGTCTTTGCGCTGGTGTCCTTAGTTACTGATAAGAAAAATTTAATATAGATCCAAATCTTAGTAAGTTAGGTAACTACCAAAAGAATAAAAGCATGATTGTCCTACCAATATCAAGAAAATGTATTTTAACTGTAGGATATAGAGAAGCAGCAAGGAAAAATATGATAAACAGTTAATAAAAACTGGTTTGGACTAAAGGATTAGCTCAAGTGGTAAGAGTGCTTGCCTAGCAAGCATGAGGCCCTGAGTTAAACCCCCAGGGCTGCAAAACAAAAACAAAGACAAACAAAAAAACTTATTTGGCAGAAATGAATCCTACAGTATAAACTATAATTAAAATAAATATAAATGGGTTAAACTCAAGAGTACAAAGACTCTTAAATAAGATTTTTCAAGAGATCCAGCAAAATATTGTTTAAAAAAGGTCCATTTAAATCCAACAGATACAGAAAGGCTGAAAATGAAAGGATAGAAAATTAATTTTATGTAGCACGAAATACAAACTTAAATTTGTCAATTTTTAAATTAAATAAAAGGGAAATTAAGAAAGCTAAGAAAAAAGGGGGCAAACAAGGACACTTTAAATAAAGTGTCAAAAGTGGAGAGAACAGGAGGGGGGAGGTGGCCCAAACACTGTATACACATGTAAGTAAATAAAAATGATAAAATAAAAGAAAGAAAGAAAATAAATAAAAAACAAAGTGCCAAAAGGAGCTCTAGAAAGTATAATTATCAGGATCATATATGCATCTCACAGTATAACTTCAAAATATGTAAAGGAGTAATTGAGAGACCTAGCAATGGAGAGAAACAGATTAAACAAGTGACTGTCCATATAGATATAAACATACTCCAGAAATTGCTAGAATACTCAGGAGAATCAGATTGGCTAATGGCAGAATTCGGCAAGTTCACTAGACATAAAATCAACTTAAAAATACGGGCTGGTGGAGTGGCTCCAGCAGGTAAAAGCGCCTGCCTAGCAAGAGTGAGTTTCTGAGTTGAAACCTGGGTGCCACCAAAAAAAATTTAAATACATAAAAATAAATAGTAGAAATTTAAATACCATTTAAAATATCAACAAAGTTACACATTACCTAGGGTTTAGCCTAACAAATGATACAGAAAACTTACAGAGAACATTTAAGAGAATTTAATAAAGATGAGAAAAAGATACACTCAAAAAATTTCACATTATAAAAATACTACTCATCTACAAAAATAAAAATTCCATCAAAATGCCAGTAGAATATTTTGTGAAATGACAAGTACATTCTACAGTTCATAAGGCTGCATCAGATACTAAAACATATTACAAAGCCAGAGTAATAAAAATACTATAGTATTTATTTTTATTACAGCAGAAAAACAGAGGGCCCAATGGAATGGAATAGAGGTGACATGACATTACAAACCTATTCATCTCCCAAGTGCTAGACATAGGGTGCATTAATCTCTTCAATATCTATCACAAATGATACTGTGATAAAATTCTTCATGTGTTGTATATACAGATGGAGAGAAAATGTTTTTAATGTCTAAGACTAATATGAAATTGATATCTACACTATATAAAAACTCTTGAAATGAGCAAGAAAAGGAAAACTAATAGAAAAATGAGCAAAAGATATGAACAGGAGATTCACTCAGAGGAAACTTAAATCGACATTAAAAAATTGAAGGTAATATCCAATTTAACTCATATAAAACTACAACGAGACAAACTCATCAAATGGGGAGATATAAAGTCAGATAAAGCGCACCTGAAGGAAGAATGTGAGTGGAATGGGAACACAAGCGTGCTGCTGGTGGAACTGTGAATTGTGAAAGCAGCTCTGGGAGCAGCCAGCAACACCAGGATGTTCAGTGTTCACTTACACCTGCAGCTGGACAATCCTACTCATCACAAACTCCTCCACAACTCCTTAAAGGATATACAAGTGAAGATGCTTATCTAACAAATACACAGGAGGCCTGGAAAGACATAGAAAATGCAGTGGAATGGGTGCCTCAGGAAAAAAGAGGAATGGAAAGTGGCAAGTGGAGAAAAAGGGGAAGATAAAACAGACATTTTGCGTGAACCTGAAAGGACAATGTGCCAAGGATGGAAGAGTAGATTTAACTTAATTTGGGTCCTGATATTAAAAAAAAGAACATGATCCTATTGGTCATAGGGGTATTTCATGTCACAAACTTATTCTATATATTTACCCATCCAATGGATGGGATTCTCAGTGCCTTCCAGAACTTTCTTCCTAGTTTCAGTAATGAGAGACAGCTCTAATAGGATACGGAAGTCATGAATGGGAAAAACGTATTTTTGACTAAGACAAGTTATCATAAATATAGCAATTCTTCCTCCAAATTAATTCATGGCATCAATGTAATTACAAATAAAAATCCAAAGGATACAGAGTGGGTGAAGCTTGACAAAATTATTCAAAAGATCGTCTAAAAGATTCAGCAAGCAAAAGTAGCAAACCACTGCATAACAGACATTAGGAGCAGGCTTGCACATATCAAAACTTACTAAAAAGCTAAAACTGTAAGTGTGTAATAGTTCTGATAACTGAGAAACATGTGAATGTAATAGAACACTCCATAAATAGAACGTGGGGCTGATGGGATGGCTCAAGTGGTAGTGTTTGCCTAGCAAGCGTGAGGCCCTGAGTTCAAACCCCAGTATTACAAAAGCTACAAAAACCCCCAACATATCTACACTTCATTTTTAAAAAGAGCACACAAAATTTGTAGGGAAGGAAAAGTATACTAGTGATATAAGAGGTTTTGTTTAGTTTTTTATAGTGGTGGTGGGGATGGAACCCAGGGCCTCACACGTTAGGCAAGCATTCCACTGAGCTTACATTCCCAGCCCTGTTTTGTTTTTCTAAACAATCCTCTTAATTTTCATCACTGTATCACCTACCCATTATGACAAAGAGCATACTTGCAATAAGTGTTCTGAAGTAAGCCTCCAAGGATTAGTCCTCTGGGCTTTAGATCATCTTGCATTAATCTTAGAAATTATCTCTTTATTATGACTCAATATCACTATCTCTTTTCTATGTACTTGTGCAGACTTCTGATTATTTCTTCTTTGGTAAAGTCTTTTTTGTGTGTGTGTGTGTGTGTGTGTGTGTGTGTGTGTGTGTAGCAGAAAAGTTTAACTGAGATAAAAAAAAGTAGCAAAGATTAGAGCTCCCAAACCTGGGAGAGGTCCCAAGAGAAGTGCCTGATAAAGTCTTCTTGTTTATTGATCTAAGCTGGTGTTTGCTGAACCACATCTACATCATCTGAGAACATGCTTAGAAATGAAATTTTCAGGCCCTTCCCAAGGCATACCAAATTAGAAACTGTGAGGGGGGAACCCAGCAATTTGTTTTTAATACACCCTCTAGGTGGCTCTGATACACTCTCGAGTTTGAGAATTAATGAGCTAAGCAAACATCCCACACCAGAGAAAGTACCATCTGGACTTGTGAGCCTTGAGAATGGCATCTAGCTCCTGTGGCCATTCCTGTCATGTTGCTTATAAGGCTCCAGTCCCTGGAGAGATGAAACTGTTTCATGTTTGTATTATAAACACAGCACTGAACACACTAGCTTCTAGATTCTGATGACTGATTCTGTTGAATGATAATCGTTTTTATACTTCCACTTTGTGTGTGTGTGTGTGTGTGTGTGTGTGTGTGTGTGTGTGGTAGTGGGGTTTGAACTCAGGGGGCCTACACCTTAAGCCACTCTATCAGCCCCTTTTTGTGATGGGTTTTCCAAGATAGGGTCTCTTGAATTATTTTTCCCAGTCTGGCTCTGAACTGTGATCCTTCTGATCTCTGCCTCCTGAGTAGCTAGACTACAGGTGTGCGCCACCAGCACCTGGCTACTCCCACACTATAAAAATTTTAAGCTTAAATATGCCCTTATTGTCTTAACTCTACACTGGCTTATCCCCCGATTTCTCATGTTGTTTGATATGGTATTGAATTATAAACAGGCTTACAGTTGCATGTGATTTTATATAGTGACATGCAAATTCAATGTGTAGAATTTTAGTACAGAAAAGCAACACTAAATGGTTACTGAAATATAAACTCTTATTAAATGACAAGTTTTACTAAATTGCTAAATGTCAAAAATTGAAATCAAGCAGGAACATTTCCGAAACAGAAATTCCTTCCCACCTTGCTGTTTTAAAGCATATTTACCTGGGGTGTGACTGTCTGGTCAATTAGATTCTCAGTTAGAGACAAGAGTAAGGCGTCCAATTCATCTGTTGCATCCTGTTAAAGACAAGGCATCTAGAATCACTAAATGACTCATTCACTGTCATTGTTTTCTATATTCTCTCAGTTTATAATTCTGGTTAGTGTTAATCCTTTAAACAAATAAGGACATTGAAGAATCTTGGTTATTTAGATTCTACCTCTTTATGGAGAGGAACCTAGACTACAATCAGAACCTGAAAAAAGAAGTGTTCTGTAAATTTTCACATAGTTATTCCCTTTGGTGACATAAAACATGAGTGGAGTTAAGATTGTTCTGGCTTTTTTTTTAGACTAGCTAAGAGTGGTAAGAAATCCAGCACAGGAGACTGTGAATCAAAGTGATTTCTTAGTTCCAAATGCTTCTTTATCTAGATGTATGGGTATCTCACAAGAATTCAATGCAAACTCTTTCCTATAAATGCTAATTAATACTTTATTTGAAGCACCTTATGGAGGACCCAATTCTGTACTGCAGTGTGGGGGAATTTAAAAATAAGGATAAAATTCCAATCTAACAAAATGGAAAATAGGAACCTAGCATGAACATTATGTTACACAAAAAAATCTTCATTTGTACATTTCTATTTCTATTTGCCTTCAGGCCTTAGTGGATCTTTATTCCTATTTCAACATGTAACTTAATTTTAGTCACACACATGAAGAAATGTTCTCCTTCCTTTCTCATCTCTCTCCTTAACCTATCCTTTTCCATCTACACCCTGTGCTGAGTGCATGGTAACAGCCTGTACACGTGTCTACCTCAGTGTATTATAATTCTCTCTCCCACTGCATGATAAGCAGTTTGAAAGCAGAGAACATATTTCCGGTTTCATTCATTTTCTAATCTGTGATGCCTAGCATGCTACCTAGTGCATAATATCCATACAATAAATCTTTGAATTAAATGTCCTTCTTTGTTCTAAAAACACCTCAGGTTCCACTTAACAACTTTCAGCAACTAGTCAAGGATATTCATGTCTTTTGGGAATTTCAATTAGCAAAAAAAGGAACTCCCAATTAAAGGTATATTAGGTTAGATTTTTCCTTTTATCCTTAAAGTCTGAAAGATTATATTACCTACAAATCAAATATACATTGCATTTATGCAGTGAGATGAATGATTTCAAGTTTTTCTTCTTTTTTTATAAGCTATTTGGTAAATTTCTATAATAAACTATACAATAAAAGAGCAAAATGGTACATGTTAATTTGCAAGAGTCATTTTAAATTTATTTTGCAAATTAAAACATTCAGGGAGCCAGGCACCAGATGCTCACATTTGTAATCCTAGCTACTAGAGAGGCTGAGATTTGAAAGATTATGGTTTGAGGCAAGCCTGAGCAAATAGTTCTCAAGACCCCCATCTCTAAAATAACCATAGTGAAATGGACTGGAGGTGTGGCTCAAGCAGTACAGTGCCTGCTTTGCAAGTGCAAAGCCCTGAGTTCAAACATCAGTACCACAAAAAAAAAAAAAAAAAAAAAAAGAGTATTCACAGGCAATGAACTAGATTCCATGATTTCTGAATTGGTAAAAGTATGAGAAGAGGACACAGTAAGGCAGAAGTTGGGATGGGCTGGTTGTTAAAACACAGTGATGGGTCCTGTTATTTCAAAAAGATCACTTCAGTCACCAAATATTTACTTAGCATCTATTATGTGCCATGTACTGCTGGAGACATCTAGGAACACAGCAATGAACAAAAAACAGTATCAGCCAGGTGTGGTGTGGCACCCTGTAAAATCAGCATGGGGGAGGCTAAGGCAGGAGTTTCTTGAGTTCAAGGCTAGCCTTGGCTACAGAGTGAGACTGTCTCAAAATAATCCAAAATAAAAACGACAATACAACCAAACAAAACAGATCAATTTTCTCACACAACTTATATTCTCTAGAGTAAATCAAATTACAAATTTCAACAAAATTACCTATGTGCTAGAGACATGAAGTCCTAATTTTTTTTTAATCTAATAAGCACTTAAAAAGCGTTCATTTGCAAGTAACAATGTGTCTCCTTAAATGGGAAAATGAGTTGAAAGCACCACCAGTATCCAAACCACCCCCCAATATGGTGGATGGGGAGGGGCAGGTGGGAGGAATGGGTCACTAAAACTGCAGAGGAAAACTTGCTATTTTTTTTCCCCCCTCGGTACTGGGGTTTGAGTTACTCTTGTGAAGGATGTGACAATAGGGTTTTCCCTAGAGAACTGAGGCTCAATGTGTTTCTCACAGTATAAATCCTAATGCCAATCAGAAGTCATCAGATACCTTTGGGTATACTACAGGATTCAATTCAATAATGCCTTTGGAAAAACTTACGTAAATGTTCTTACCTTTAGAATAGAATCGCTGTCTGTGGGTGTGGTATGAACCACAAGAGAATCTTTGCAGAGGGACACATTCTCATTTAATACAGCACTGGGAAGAAAAAGATAAACTCAATCATGGAGCAGTTCTATAGGAAAAGATAGCACTGCTGAACAAAAGCCTTAGGAAAGAAGGAATTCATAGAGGGGAAGAAGAGACAGCAGCTGGAGGGGAGCTCCCAGCAGTCAGTGCTGTACTCATGTCCTATGTGAAACCTTTCCCCACCCCCACAGAGTTTTTTGGTGTTGTTTTTTTTTTTTGGCAGTACTAGGGTTTGAACTCAGGGCTTGCTAGGCAGGTGATCTTACCACCTGAGCCACTCTGTCAGCCCCCCACAGAAGTTTTTTATATCTAAGTCAAACTAAATTGCTGCTGGATTGAAATAATAGACTACTTGCTTCCTTCCTAAAATCTCACTAAAACGACAGCAAAGAGTTATCCTTACCAAAAGAAAAAAACTCCTAAAACTTAAAAACCATTAAAGGTTGTCAGTGGTGTAGTTTAGAAACTTTTAGGAAATCCTGAAAGAGACAGTAGAGAGGAATGGTTTCAAGATTATTAACAGAATAAATATTATATTCTACCCCAACAGCATCAAATTCAGAGAATTATATAAAAGATGGAAAGCCAGCCAAAACAGATACAGACTGATTTTAAAAAGCTATTATAAAATACATGAATTTGAAAAAGCTCAGTGGATCACAAATTTTACAGAATACCCAAGACATGAGAGAACACTCAGGAAACATCAGGACAAGCCACTATCTGAAGATATGGGCTGGAGAGTTCTATTGCAGAAGCTAGAAGCAACATCCAAGATGTACCAGATCTACAACAGGGCTAGACAGGAGAGGATGCCAGAGGACCTGTTACCCGACAGGGTGTCTTTTTTTTTAATTTTAATTTTTTTATTATTCATATGTGCATACAATGCTTGGGTCATTTCTCCCCACTGCCGACAGGGTGTCTTATCTCCAGACAAGAGTAATGAAAATAGAATTAGTCCTACAGATGGCTTCACTGTCAGGGAACAAAGGGAAGACTATAGCCAAAAGGCTATCATCCACCAAGACACCACAACCAGCAGGAAATCTTAGCCCTCACCAATATCACTGAACAGTGGGCAAGCACCAGCAGCAGTTCCTGACCTAGCCTACAAGATGACAGAGAAAAAAATGGGAGATAAACCATAGCATTGGTGAGTGGAAGCTAGTTCTGTTGTATCCACAACACTGAGGTAAACAGCCACAAAGGTGAAAAAAAAAGTTATAAGACACAGAGAATGATTAAAATGCTCCACCTAATGAATAATGAATACAGAATACTGAAGATGTCTTATGATTTCTAGAATTATAAAAAAGACACAGGTCTTCAGATCAAAATCCCAACTTGAATACTAATTAAGAATAAAAATAAATCTATACTTTAGACATAATGAAAATGCAGAACATCAAGAATAAGTAGTAAAACTTAAAAGCTACTAGAGAGGGAAAAGCAAATCACTTTGTGCTTCAGAAAGAGAAAATGGCTCAGAGGAAAGGAGTCAACATAAGTGTGTGAGCTTTACACACAGTAAAGTATGTTTTATAATGATTTCCACCAGTGTGGAAAGCAGCAGATGAGAAGCTTCTCAGACACTTGGTACAGCACGTCAGGAGCCAGCCATCCCATTCACAGGGACACAGCCTAAGCAATCCTCACAATCTGGCCGTATAAGGAGGAGCACACACAAAGTCAGTTTCAAACAAACACTTGTCCGTTAATAAAAGAACGAAAGGACTGTGGCAGATGCATGTAATAGCAATTAAAACGAGCAGACTGTGGGAAATTTCTAAAAATTCAGATACATAAAAACAAAGCTGAAGGAGATGCATATGTGTGTGTATTACTACTGATACAAAGTTTGAAAACCATGTAACCAACATATTGTTTTGTAGGGTTTTAAAAAAATTTTTTTGGTAGTACTGGGGCTTGAACTCTGAGTGTGGTGCTTGATAGGCAGGCGCTGTACTGCTTGAGCCATACCCCCAGATATTGTTTGTGTACACACACATATGCACTGAAGTATCAAAAACAATCATATAGTCCTTTATGAAGTTAAGCATACATTTCCAGACAACCCTGAAATCCCATTCCTAGGTATTTATGCAGGAGATCACATGACAGCCAAGAAGCGGAAAGACCCCAAATGCTCTTTAACTGCTGACTGGGTAAATAAGCTGTGGTACATATGGTGAAATACCATTCAACAATAACAAACTGCTACACACAATGTTAATGAATGTCGAATGTTTTATTTCAGGTGAAAGAAGCCAGACTCAAAAGGTTGCATGCTGTATGATTCAACACACATAATATATGCTGGAAGAGGTAAAACCATAGAAACGGAACATACAACAGTGTCCATCTGGGGCTGGGGCCAAGGTAAGCGTTAGCAGAATGAGAAAACTTTTGGAGATGATGGAACTGCTATACACATTTGTCAAAACTGAAAGAGGTTTATACAGCAAATTTTACTAGATTTAAATTATTGCTGTGATAACTTGATTCTAAAGAGCATAAGAGCAGCAGGTGATGTCAGTTAAAATGCTAAGGTTGAGACTCCAACAACTCATCCCTCTGAAAAATCACCAAAAATGCTGGCAAAGATGGTAAGAATCAATCTTTCTGGATTCTGGAATATAATCTGAGGTTTACAGAAACCAAGAAAATGAGTCACTGAAACAGCAGGAGAGTTTTGTGGTGTTTTAACTTATTCCTGTCCCTTGCTCCCTAGGATGACAATTCTGAAGACAGCAGCTGCATGTTCTGGTGTAAATACCTGGTTCCCAATGAACTGTATTTTTCTGTTTTGATGTCTGTAAATTCCCAAAGGACAGATGCAAAGGACTTGTGTTTGCTTTGTCTAACACAGTATTCACTTAGGGTAGACCAAAAAGAAACAGGTGGGGAAAACAAGAGACATGCCAAAATATGGGGGGTGAGATATTTTAGGGAATAAAGGCTTAGAAAGCCCTCACTCGAATGGAGGAATCTAGAAAGCCATGCATATGCCAAAAGCAGGACTCATGTTTAGAAAAAAGAGGGTATCACTATAAACTTTCCCCTTAGGCTGATTTTTATTTAATCAGTTAATTATTTTGTGTTGCTGGGGCTCAAAGCCAGGGCCTTGCACATGCTAAGCAAGCACCTTACCAATGACCTATACCCCAGGCCCATCTTTTAAGTGTTGAAGGAGTGGAGCAACACAGACTCAACCTGCAAAGATGCAGAGAGTATTTTTCTTTTATTTTTCATTTGCTTTTTCTTTCTCTCATTTTTATTTTCGCCCCAGTCATAAAGAAACCTCTGTAAAATCACTATCTGTTTTAAGCTAAGGTAACAGAAGCATCAGAGAGCACACATGACAAAGCAGTGTCAAAAAGTTACTACAAATGAGCATAAATGTAGCCATATAACAAGCAAGAACAAGAGAGCCTCTGGAGGGGAAGATTATGAGTGTAAGAAATCAAATGTCCATTTTTCAAATTAAGTCGTATCAAAAAAAAAAAGTGTGGCTTATTCACAAGAAAAAAAGATAATTTAACAGAAACTATCTCCCAGAAAGCACAGACACTGGACTTACTAGACAAAGACTTTAACTGTCTTGAATATTCTCAAAAAGCTAAAAGAAACCACAAAGTACTAAAAGGAAAGTAGGAGAGTGAGACAAAAAAAATATGGAATATCAAAAATAGTGCAATTATAAGAAAGAATCAAATAAAAATTTTAGAGCTGAAAAGCACAAATTTAATCATTATTTTCATTTTTTTTAAATGGAGAATTTACTAGAAGATTTCAGCAGCAGATTCAGTAAGGCAGAACAATCAATGAGCTTAAACATAGGTCAAATGAGGTTATCTGGTATCAGGAACAGAAGAAAATAACAACAACAACAAAACAGAAGGCCTGGGGGCATGGCTCAAGGGGTAGAGCACCTGCCTAACAACAAAACAGAGCTTGGGGAACCTGTGGAACACAAGAACACTAACAGATGCATTAAGACAGAGCAAAGACCAGTTGAATAAACAACAGTTGAAAGCAAATTTAACAAAAGACATCTAAGAAGCTCAGTGAACTCGCAGCATAAGCTCAGGGATCCACAGCATTTGTATTAACCATACTGCTAAAAACAAAACAAGGAGAAACTCTTGAAAGTAGGGAGAGAGAAGTGATATCACATACAAGGGATCCTCTTAAGATTAAAGGCCAAATTCACATGAAAAATAGAAATCATGAAAAACAGATAGCAGTGGGATGACATATTTAAAAGTGTTAAAAGAAGAAAAAAAAACATGTCAATTAAGAATTCTATATCCAGCAAAACTATCCTTCAAGAATGAAGGAGAAATAAAGACATTCTCAGACAATCAATTGCACAGGGAGTTTGTTGCAAGTAGGTATGTCCTACATAAAATGCTATGGGGAGTACTTCAAGCTCAAATAAAAGGATGATACCCATTAACTTGAAACCATATAAAGAAAAGTAGAGAATATGGTTAAAGAAACAAATCATTGGATACATGGTGACGAACAAAATGCATAAAACAAAGAATAAAAGCATAGTATGCAAATAAATAGCATAGTAGTCATTAAAGAAGAAAGAGGCAGAAGAGAATTGGCGGTAGTAGCAAAGAAACTTGTTCGGTTAATGTGAGAGCTCAGGCTGGTAAGACCAAGGCCATTGTGATGACACTAAACTTAATGATGACACTCAAGAGAAACAGTATACATTTGCCATCAAGTACCAAAGGAGAGTCAAACACCTTTATAGATAATTTTTGTCCTAAAGTTTGAGTCAGCTAAAGCCAAATGAGAATGTAGGAGTGTCTTTAAATAATCTAAAAGTAGAAAGTAACCAGCTCTGTGGTGTATAGAAAAGAGTGAATTCAAGCTATCTTTTAAATAGATAACCACGTGGTGATAATTGTGGAAGAGAAACACTGTCCCCCATCTCCCCCTCAAAAATAAGAAAATCGATTTAATTCAATTCACCCAGAACGGTACCTGTTTGTGGCAGCATCCTGAACACTGGTGTTTTTATGACTTAATAAGCTATCTTCTCCTGTAACCTAAGAAAATGAAATCACAAAAAAATAAAAATCAAATCTTTAAGGATACTAAAGTAAAAAGAAATTCACATATCTTTTCAGTAAACACAGAAAAATCTGCTTGCTTCAGTTCAAATAGGAGGTAATCATACCTTATCAGTACTGCACCTTGTACAATCCTATCCCACAGCCAAATTAACAATCCAAGACAACTTCAATGTGTCTGCCTTTTTAGACAAACAGTGTTTTTGAGATTCACTCATATGGCTGCCTATCTCACCAATTCATTCCTTTTTACTTGCTGAGTAGTATTCCACTGTATGGACATACCATGGTATCTGTTTATTTACTGGTAGACATTTGGGTTGTTCCCATCTTTTTAGCTATTACAAATAAAGCTGCTGGGAATATGAATTGGGTTTTAATTTCTCTTGGGTAAGTGCCTATGTGTGTAATGGCTGGGACAGATGGTTAATGTATGTTTAATACACTGCCACTTTTGTACAGTGTTTATGCCATTTCATACTCTCACCAGCAATGTGCATTGAAGGAGCTCCGTCATTACCAACACAGGGATGGTCAGTCTTTACTTTTAGCTATGTCAGTGCATATGTCTGTCACAATGAAGTATGACGTTAGCTACAGATTTTTTTCACAGAAACCTTTATTGGGGTAAACAAGTTCCATCCTATTCCTACTCTGTTGAGAGCTTTTTTTTTTTTTTTTAAACATAAACAGGTGATGAATTTTGTGAAACGCCTTTTCTATATGAGTTGAGACAATTTTATGTATTTTTTAATATGTGAACTATACTGGGGTTTGAATAATAAACCAACTTATTTTATGACATTAAACCCTATGTGGTCATGATGTATGATCCTACTTATAAACTGCTCATCAAGACTTGATTGTTTTGTTAAGAATGTTTTCATCTATGTTCAAGAGGAATATTGGTAGGGAGTTTTTTTTTTTTTCTTATAGTACTTTTTTCTGGTTTTGCTACTGGGTAACACTAGCCTCATAAATTGAATTAGGAAGTTCTCCTTCCTTTTTAAAATATTGGTAGATTTCTACCATGAAGGCTTCTGGTCCTGGATTTTTCTTTATGAGAATGTCTTTTCTTTTTTACATTTTTATTAGCATATCTTAGTTGTGCAGAAGGGGCTGGTTCATTGTGACATTTACTATATGGGCTCACAATGTATCTTAATTAGGAAAATTTCATTGTTCTATTTTCATGCACACTTACAAAGTAGAAAATAAAGTCCCTGTAATTTAGAGCTATTGTTTCTTCAAATCAAGAAAGACTGAAAAGTATAACTGAATTGTAAGGTAATTGGTCCATTCAGGCTGCTATAACAAAATACCATTAACTGGGAAGTCTACAAATAATAAACATTCATTTTACTCAGTTCTACATGCTGGGAAGTCCAAGATCAAGACACTGGCAGATTCAGTGTCTGGTGAGGGCCTGTTCCTCATAGATGGCTCCTTTTTGTTACCTTCTCACAGGACAGACAAAACTAATAAGCTCCCCAGGGCTCTCTTTCTAAAAGCACTAAAAACATGCAGATCCTAGTAAATGATAATAGCTATTGTGACTGCTGTGACTACCACTATGGGGTTAGCACTTTCTAAATGCTCTGTATGTTTCAGGTACCATTCCATGCCCTTTGCATTTCTTATCTCTTCCTCACAGTGTACCTAGGGTAAATATGACAATTATCTTATTTTAAACATAATTAAACTGAGGCTCAGAGAAATGAACTAATTTGCCCCAAGTTACAAAGTTGGTAAATGGTAGCACAGAAATGGGATTCTAGAGCCTAGACTGTCATATTTTGTTTATTTTATTTATTATTTTACTTTTTTTTTGTGGTACCAGGGTTTGAACTCAGTGCCTCAAGCTTGCTAGGCAGGCACTCTACCACTTGAGCCACTCTGCCAGCCCTTTTTGTGTCAGGCATTTTCAAGATAGGGTCTGACAAACTATTTACCAGGGCTGGCGAGGACATACAGCCATGAGTCACTGGTGCCCTGTGTCTGTTTCTACATGTAAATATTAGGTTTGGTGCTTATATTGTGGAGGATAAAAAAATCATGAACAATGTGCCTATAGTTATCATAGTTCTTCTCTTCAAGGATGTGGCTGGGGATAGGAAGGGGAAAACACACCTCCTCAACCACAGGAGGCTTGGTGAGACAGGCTTCTGTCCTGGTTTTGATATGGAGGTAAGTTTGAAAGCTAAGGAGAGCCAAGGAAAAGCTCACTGGAAAGCATGGCTGCCATACCCTCCTGGGGGCTGACCCTGCACACTCTATCCTTCACCATGTCATAGCCAACTCTTCCTTCACCTCTTATCTCACTTTTGTTGCTAATAACATCAAAATTCGGCTGACTTAAGGATAGATGGGTGGTGGGGAGTAGGGGATGTATAAAGAATAACCTAGAATCTTAGGCTTAATATTAAAGGAAATAAAAAAAAAAAAACCACTGAGTTTTGTGGCTATAAAGTAGAAAAATTAGGAATTCACTTTAAAAGGCATTAGGCTCTTCTTTTTTTATATGTGAGAGCATCTTTACTCTGACTGCCCAACTTGATCAAGCGTGCCTTGAATTTAGTTTGAGGGAGGCAAATGCTCACTATCTTGAGTATGTTTCATGGTACCAGGCTGTCTCTAGTTATTTGCTAAACTCTGCACTGTTTTTACTGTGCCTGGACTATGCCTATTCAGGGCAGCTTACCTTATGCACTGCTTCTACTTGAGCCTTCAAAATGTTACTCTTGAAGTCAGCAGGCAGTCTCATGGCATTCAATCCTGGGCTCTCAATGGCATTATTAAGACATTTCTCAGTTAGCTTTACCACTTCTTCCTAAATATTAAAAATATACTTCAATTAACCTTAATAGGCCATAGTTATGTACAAACTGGGAAGGAATGATGAAAATTCATACTCAGACAATCAAGAAATCATAAGCCTTAAGCAGCTATATCCTGCTTCCAACTCATGTAAGTCATCTATCTGTGGATAGCTGCAGAATCACAGAGATTGGCCTCTGTTGTGTAGAACCTAAAATCCAGCTGGAATGGATTACATTCTCCATATATGGTTTAATTCAGACATTTGTCATAGATGCTATAGTTAGTTATTTGGTTGCTTAAGGACAGGGAATTGGGTCCAGTTATTTCTAGAGGTTCTACCAACTTGTATTTTGTGTTTGTAACTCTGGAGCTGTCACCTGGGAGATGACTGTGTCTCAGACTACATGTAACACACTGTAAACAGGTCACTCTCAGATACAAACTTATGAGACAGAATAAAGCACAAATTCAATAAATGAACATAATTAATACAATAAAAATTAACTATTGTGAAAAAAAGAAATGGGGGTAAATAGGTTAACAAGCTTTTTAAAGAAATGCAGATAATCTGCATTACAATTGCTTGTTTTACTTAACTTGAAATAAATAGCAATCATTAGTAAGAGGTGACTTAGTTGCCAGGTATAACATTACATACTATCCCGCTCTTACAGGTTTGAAAAGATTTAATTTCTATGCTCATTCTAATTTGGTATTTCTCAGTGTGGTCTCCCACACCTGCCTTTGGGTGGTACATCCAAATCTGAATTTTTAACAAGCTTCTCCCTGTGATTCTGACACATATAAGTCTTCTTTAGACTAGACTCCATGTGTCTAGGAGACCTGTGACTTCCTAGTCTTCAAAGGTTCCTATTAGTTGAAAGTCTTTATGTCCTTTTTCAATCATGACTCATTCAAATACTTTCTACATTTTTTTCCAGAGACAGTTATGCTGTTGACTTGAGAGTACCTGTCAATCACTATTATCTGTACATTATAATATTCTCAGAGCAATCTGCCTGACATATGCAAATATTTCTTTTTTTGCCTATATTAAAAACAAAAACAAGAATTCAACACATGTAATACTGGTAAGCGTAGAAATTGTTGTCAACTTTTGGGAAGTCAATTTTGCCAAAGTACCAATGGTTTTGAAATTAACCATTATTTTAAAGATTATTAATCTTTGACTAGCTCTTCTACTTCCTGGGCATTATTCCAAGGACATAAAGATGGCTACAAATATTCATTTATAAACTTTATCACAGCACTGACTGAGACAGTGAAACCTGCTAACTAAAGGTCTTATAGGGGATTGAGTAAACACATCAATGCAATTTAATCATTACCTCTAATGTGTTGCTGAAATAAATTTTTAGCTTTAGTCTTAAATTTTTAGTTTTAGTTTTTAAATTTTTAGTTTTAAAAATCAGTCACTATATTTTTACCTCTAAAATGCATATACCATTTAAATGTTTGTAGCTTTAAAAATGTTAATTAGTTTGGCTAGTGGCCAAGACCTATAATCCCAGCTACTTGGGAGGATCGCAGTTGGAGGCCAGCCTGGACAAAAAGTTCTTGAAACTCCATCTCAACCAATGGTTGTACTTGGTGGTATGCACCTGTCATCCTGGCTATGCAGGAAAGCACATATAGGGACCATGGTCCAATCTGACCTGGCCATAAGGTGACACCTTATCTCAAAACTAACCACTGGGAGCCAGTGGCTCACTCCTATAATCCTAGTTACTAGGGAGTCAGAAATCAGGAGGATCAAGGTTCAAAGTCAGCTCTAGGCAAATAGTTCAAGAGACCCTATATTGAAAATCCCTAACACAAAAAGGGCCAGTGGAAGTGGCTCAAGTGGTAAAGCCTAGCAAGTGTGAGCTCTGAGTTCAAACCCCAGTATAACCTAAAAACAAAAAATCCCAAAAGACGGCTAATTTTTTTGTCTTAGCCTGGAGTACCTCTTCCCATTCTGGAGACCTCGCTGTTTCCTCAGTCAGCACATTTGATTTGCAGAAGACAGTTAGGAAAGACTTTCTTACATTTAGGTGAGAGCTGCATAGCTCTAAATATACATGGACCATAATTCTTCTCTGGGGCTATTAAAAAACAAGTCATGGGTTATGGAGGTGACTTAAGTGGTAGAGCGTCTGCTTAGCAACACAACACCCTGAGTTCAAACCCAAGTACTGACAAAAAGAAAAAAAAATCAACTCCTCTTTCACGAATAGCTCTTCAGATATCCAAAGATGGCTGAAGTGTTCTCCTGAGATTTCTATGTGGTGATCCTCCATCTGATAATGTCCAGTTATAACTTAACTTCAAGACCCTTCACCATATAGATCCTTCTCAAACTGCCTTAGTTTTCATATACATGTAAATGGGGTTTGAACTCAGGGCCTCAGGCTTGCTACGTAGGCACTCTATCACTTGAGTCACTCCGCCTGACCTGTTTTGTGTTGGGTATTTTCAAAACAGGATCTCATGAACTATTTGCCTGGACTGGCTTCAAATCAGGTCCTCCTGATCTCTGTCTCCCAAGAGGTTAGGATTACAGGCGTGAGCCACTGGCTTCCTCTATCATTTTTAAAGAAAGATATCCAGAAATGAATAAAATGCCATGGATGAACCTCCTGTTTTAAAATCTTTCAACAAATACAATATAGCTGTTTGGCAGAAGATTCATACTGCACTCATATATTCTTAAATATATTCCATACATACTATTATATTCTAGCCACCACCCTAATTCTACAGTTGTGAGGACTTCTTATCAAAATAATTCTCAAATTCAGTCCATTATTCTAGCCTGTCAAAGTCTTTATAGATCCAGATTTTACCTTTCAAAACCTGTACTTCCCAGCTGTTATTATTTGAAAGCTTCATTAGCTTTAGAGACCTGGGGGCCTGGCACAGTGGCTCATACCTGTAATCCCAGTTTCACAAGAGGCAGAAATTGGGAGGATCACAGTTAGAACCCAGGCTAGGCAAAAAGTTAGCGAGACCTTCCCCCCCCCACCAATCTCAACAAAACATGCCAGGTGTGGTGGCACACTCCTGTCATTATACCTAAGTGGAAGGCCGTAGGAAGAAGGATCATTGTCCGAAGCCAGTCCCAGGCAAAAAGTCAGACCCTATATGAAAAATAATGTTTAAGCAAAAAGAATTGGAGGTATGTATAGCTGAAGTGGTATAGCACTTGCCTAGCAAGCATGAGGCCCTAAGTACAAACCCCAATAATGACAGAGAGACAGAGAGAGAGAGAGAGAGAGAGAGAGAGAGAGAGAGAGAGAAACATACACACCCCCCTGGGAAATGGTCACTGGAGATGGTCATTTACAAAACTAACTTCTATAAGGCTTGGTGGCACAGATTTAAAGTTTCCTGAAGGCCAAGACTTTATACTCATCTTTGATTTCAACACAATTTTTATTATTATACCTTTTAAAAGCAGACAATAAACACAGTTGTAGAACAGAATCAACAGTTCAATTTCTGATGATTGTATGGATCCTGGGTAACACAGGTCTGATGTGGCACAAGACTGTCATGGGTGCTAAGGACCTAGTCGTCTGCTCTTGAGTCTCAAGATTACATGGCTGGCTTAGACCTCAGTTGCACCATTCTCAGAGCTAGTCATTCAACAGCATTAATGTTTTGCTTCAGAATAATGTATTTTATTTAGAGTGATTTTCTTCCTGAAATTACTTTAGTTAGTATGAATGACATTAAAATTAATTTGTATTCCTTAAGCAAACATCAAACGTAGATAAATCAGCCTGGATTAAAAATCTCATTTTAGTAAAACATGAATTAACTTTTGAATTAACTTTTTCACAGCGAGCAGTCTGATTGACTAGAGTTAAGGTAAGGTAGTCAGATGGCCTTTGTTTATTAGTCCAATACTGAATTCTACCTTTATTCATACCTAGCATTTAGTAAATCCTCACTAAATATTAGCTGCTGTTTTTTCCTAGCTAGATGATCCCCCAAATGTTTCCCTCTCCCCTCCCCCCACCCCTCCTTAAGGAGGGTTTCTCCCTTGGGAACTTGAGGAAAAGCTTGGAGCCCATTACAGCTGTAAGGCAGGCAACCTGAGAGAACTTGGGGGCTTATACCAGACTGCCAATGCTACATGGGCAAAGATGAACTTCAGTGCACTGAGGCTTTTTAAATTTTTCTCCTCTCCTTTAAACTCTCTCTTTCCAGATCTGACCTGCTTAGGTAGAAAGGAAAGTTTCTCTTCAAGCTATAAGGACAAGGATGCTCTGGCCGGGGCACTACCCAGTGTCACCTGAAGGCTGGAGATGCAACTTCCTGACCCACCCTGAGGCTCCAAAGGTGGCTAAGTTTCAGACCCCTCCAGCCATGACCAAGGCAAAGAGACAATCAGATCTCTTATGCTGCTTCTTTCATGGTTTTCGTGGCCCAAGAGTAGAGGTCACCCCTCTTTTCCAGTGCTCCAGTACTGCCCTCAGGCAGGATCGACATGGGCAGCAGTGGTGACCAATAATCCCTCATGTGTTCAGCCTGGAAACTCTCTTTTCCCCCAATCCTCAGCCTCTCCTTTCTCTTTCTCAAGTAGTTCAGGATAAGTGACCCCCCTCCCTTGCTTTGCTCTAAACAGCAGTAGGCTTCCTTCTTCAGGGAGTTTGGGAAAAATCCCTGCAGGCACCAGAAAGTGCTAGTCTCTAACTTGGGATCAACTGCCTTTGTCAGGCATCTGTTTAAACTAAACAGGTTCTACAGCCTGCCCTCAGGGGGCGGGAAAAAAAACCAAAACAGTTAAAAGGCAGAGAACTCAGGGTCTTCTCCATTTTTGTCCTTTACCACAGCAAAAGCCCTCAGATGCTCCCTCTCTTCATAGAAAATACATGCCTCACAGGATATATAGGGAGACAAGTCTACTTCACCAGGGGTCCCCATCCACACCTCTGCACGAGGTCTCCCTCTGGCCATGCAAGCCCTCTTGGTTACTTTGATAGAGTTTTTTTTTTTTTTAAT